GCACCGCGGACTTGTATCCGCTTGGATGGGGAATTTGGGGGCGTCAGACTCTCCTGGCACGGCGATGTTGGCTTGATTTAGTGCAAGGCAATCGCCAAAGCCAGCCCAGAGTATCGGGATCTTCTTTCGTACCTTCGTTGAAGTAGCGTGGGTGTAGGTACCTTACTTGCTCACCTTCCTGCCTTAGATGTGGTGTTTGTTTCCTTCCTTCCTTCCAGGTCCTGCCGGTGCGTTGGGTCCTTCCGTTTGTTCCTCCTCGTTCCTTCCCGTCTACTTACGGCAGGGCCAACCAAAACCAACCTCGCATGTTTCTTGCCGTTCCTTCCTTACCTCAGCTCGCAAATCAGAAAGAGCAGCCTGCTGCCATGCGCAACGAATAGGAAGGAAGGTCGCAGTGAGGGGAAGCTCAAGGGAAGGAACGACAGAGAACCTGGGAAGGTACGATTAGCCCCCTCATCCTATCCCAAATCCGTCAAGCCACCACGTTGGGGCCTCACCTTCCTAGGGTTGGAGTTGCCCGCTCCACGTCCTGCCCTTGCCGCCGCCGTGTGTTGTTCACGAGGTGGTTCCTGTTCCTGTTCCTGTTCCTGGCTTCCTTCCCTTGCTTTGCGTTAGGTCGCTCATGGCAGGTTCCATCCCTCGAGGACCCGGCCTTTCTCTCCGCGGCCACAAAACCCACGTTTCTTGCATGAGGTAAGGACCACGAAGCTCTGTGTCTGTGGCTGTCCCGTATCTGCCGTGTGTGTCTTGTCTTTAGCCAGGTGGTGGCCTCGCCCTCCTCCTTCCGGACCCTGGGCGCTTGCTCAACCAACATAGCGCCATCTCCGGTTCGCTCACTTTCCCATGCGCCTTTCGCAAATTCCAGATGCGACCACACGCTTGACCGGACTGACCTGACCTGACCTGACCTGACCAGTTCTCGATCAAAGCCAGACCTGCATCTTCCCCAGGTCACGGCATCCGATCAACCTATTCCTCCGATGCCGACTACCGCTCCGTGGTGCTCCCATCACTTCCAAATTCCCCTCGTCTTATTCTCCTTGACCCTATCGTATATCAGATCCAGATTTCAAGTTAACCTGGTTCGGTCATTATGTGCCCTCTTTCTCCCCGCCAGCGCTCGTTTTCGTACTACGCTGCGACGCCAGCTTCTCACACTGCACAAGTGGTGGCCTGGACACCGACAGGGATAGCTTCCCCTCATCTCGCCATCATTTGGCGTGCTCTGCCTGTCCGTGGTCAACGCAAATCATCAGTTCGTCTCTCATCCTCCCTCTCGGCCGCTGGCGGTGCCCGCGACCTCACCTTGCCCGGTGTGGATGCATGCATCTCACTCCCGTCAGTGTATCGGTAGCCCTTCAGATACAAGGTGTCAGGCACGCAGTCTATGGCTGTGCCACTAAAATGTCTGGTCGTCGCCCTTGAGGCTCAGTGAAGGTGCTCGTTTCAGAGTATGGCACTTGACTTGATGGGGCCCTCGGGGGTTGCAAAGACCAGCATATCCTCATCACACGTCCTGCCCTCCGCTCTCTTTTCAAGCAATATGCTTGGTCGCCTCACCAGCAGACTTCTGGCAACCCGATGCAGTTCGTGCATGCGAAGGGATGCCCGTCGTCGATCTCCAAATCCCATCAGCCACTCTTTCAACGTCGGACAAGACAATCTGAGACTGCCCGCACCCCGATAACAGCCACTCCCTGTCATCAGCCTTCATACTTCTGGAATAAGGTGTCGACCTTCAGACGGCGGCCAAGCACGTATTCGCGTCCTGCATGGAAGCACTCTAATTCCGCGACCCCGTCAAATGAGAGCCGCCGTATTCTGCACGTATTCAGCATCATAATATCCGAGTATTGCGTGCACCAAGACAACACTCCATCGTGGCTCCTCACGATGCCTTGACATGGACCGAGTATGGCTCCCAGCCGCCGTGGAATAGCCTCCTCCTGGTGTCACAGCGGCCAATCTCCCCCACCAGACCTGGCTCGGTGCGCCGGCCGAACAAGGTTCAAGGGTTCGTGAAATTGCCCTTTCTCGGCCGCATCAGGTTTCCCACTGCGGATACACAGTCACGGGTGCCCAAATGTCGATAACGACAACCTTCCATCATTCAGAGCTCATCGGCCGAGCATGCAATTTACTTTTGCCTGTTTTCAGTGCGACCATCCCCCTCCCCGCATATTGAAAGACAGGAGCTTCCAGTCTATTCTGCAAGCCACGTTTGGGGAACGTCATTCAGTACCACAAAAGTCCTGTTTTCAGCGTTGATGGGTAGCGAAACACGCACGCTGGGGAACACGGACAGCGGCCGCCATCGAGATCGCATTCTCAATTCTGCACAATTTGCAAGTGGATTATTCTCCGAGTGGGCGGAATGACAGCCAGGGTGATGGGTCAACCGTCGTCTGTGGTGTACGAACACACTAACCACTAACAAGCTGTAAACCGCGAAAAAGCTCCTAGCGACGTTGCACGGTTGCAGTCGCCAAAAGTGCGCGCAATTGCCAGGATTTCAGGATCCGACTTTTCTGCCCAGGAGCCCCAGCCAACAACGGTCTCAGACACTCGAGAATGAGACGCTGCGCTGCGCTGCTTGCACTCGCTTGCCAATACACACTGCTCCCGGCCATCGCCCGTAGCGGCTTATCCAGACCGTTAATCGCATTGCACAACTTGACTCGCGAGGTACGGACACTTTTTTGCTGTTGATGCCGCGAACAACCACGACGCGCCGTGCACTTGGTGCTCGTTCGGCCGAAGATGCAAGTGGATGATTCCATGGAGGTCGAAAACTCGTGGCAACTTGCAAGATTGTCCACTTTCAAGGACTCGCGGGGAGCGTGGGAAGTACTGTGTACTTCACCTTCGCTGGCAGGCCGTGTTTCCGCGGTTCGAACTTATCATGTCTGTTATCAACTCGAACCCCGCCAGCCCGGAGCATCGTTGAGACTTCGACCGCTTTTTCGCCGGCAATGTTTTTATTCCCATCCCTGTCTATCGGGCGGAACAAACTAGCTGGACGATGGTGCTGGACGAAGCAACAAAGTCGGTCTCTAATCCAACCACGACCAAGGCTTTTCCAAACGTGCGCCTTACGACGCTGCGACGTCGGATGTGCGCTGTTGACCCATGGCAAATCGAAACAGCCGCCATATCGAACCGAGCACGCAGACTGCACCGAGAGTACGCCGCCTCGGAGCATCGTCGGAGCACCTCACCGCAAATGGAACGGCACCGCGGCTCCATTTTTTAAGGCCGGATGATCATGCAACCTGAAGATGGTTGCGCCTTGAGCCAGATTGATCTGCACTCCATTCATCTCGCCAGTTCGTTGTTTTTCGGCCTGTTGCCGCTCGCCGACGCACGACATCCGGCTGCTCGGAAAAAGAAAGCTGGCGGATGTCTCCAAACTCTCAACTTGAAGCAGAACTTGCGCAAGCGCGCTGTCCACGTCAGTCTGCGGTGCGCGACTCGGCGCAAGCACTCGACTCAATTGCTCCAGAACTCGGTGACCGCTCTTTTTTCCGAGCCGTGGACTACTGTCCAACCTTGAGGAAAGCCGGTGAACTCATGTCTCCCGCGTGGCCTCGAGTCAAGACTGATGGTTGCTCCAAAATGACTCAATGTGGTTGGACGTTATTCGTGGCCATCCAAACGATGCTACAACAAGACAGTGGGTGTCCCAGATGCTACTGGCAGCTGCTGGCAAAGCCCATCATGAGACGACGGCAGAGAAACTGAATGACGCCCCAAGCGCCCACGGACGAATAATTTTTGATATCCGCGCGATGTTGCTATGGTCTATGCTAGTGGTCAAATTCAGAGCTCGCTCCGTCTAGGCTTATTGCGCCTAGACTTTCCCATCTGTCATCCGTCAACGCGAAGCGAAGCTAAGCTCATAGCCAGGCGACCCGATCTAGGAGAGCAAGAATGCTGCCGAGGAAATCGTTGTTTAGCAACCAGGCACAAGGCGCAGTATCTTATGAACTTGGATATCCTTGGGGAAAATAAAGCACGTCAGTAGGCTACGCAAGCTTCACCGATCCGCTCTCCACCAAGCTCAATCGCAAGACAGCCCGTCCCAACATTGGCACACATTTCTTCAGATTTGAGTCAGTTCGCCGCATTGAACGGACGAAAGTCGCCTCGTCGGCAAGGAGGTTGGGGTTCCATGACCTTCCGGAACGTTTTGATCTCCGGCCCCTGAATGAGTCGGGAGACCTCCATACTTCATACGTAGCCAACGTGCACGGGCAAAGGACTCCTTCTCGTTTCAAAATCGTTTCTTTCACCACGACAGGGCGAATTCTATTCTGTTGCGGCCACTAAGTTTGCTGACACGCAATTGTCAGCCAACGCAAGGGACTGTCTATCGTCAAGGACACTCACCTGAAGGGCACATTTTCGACCTTCATCCCTCCGCCCATGCACTCGCGGACTCGTCGACTGAAGTCGCATCTTGCGTATGCTTGAGCTGATATTTCCAATGACAACGCCGCTTCTTGGCGCTGCGGCTCGATGTTGTAGTGAAACCTCGACAAAAGGCACGCCCGGTCATCAAGGATGCTCGATGCACGACTTTGACCTCCGGCGGGATTGGCAGCTCATCCGGTGCATTTTTCTTCAGATTCAGAAAAGGGGACCAACGCTCTGACCGGGCGTTCGGCCATCGATCACTTGAGCAGTAGTCATGGTGGTCGCATTGAGTAGCAGACAAAACTCAAACTTGGTCAAGCCTGCGGTCAAGGCCGTCGGTGATCACGTCTAGATTTACGGAGACGATTTTGCTTTACCACAGACTAGAGAGGTCTGCTTAGGGCAGTCTTTGATACCAATCAAGCAGACGTTTCGACGAGACGCAGGTTGTCGAGACGTTGTACCGGATCCGCGTCCACATTCCGAAAAGTCCGGGTTTGGCTTGACATGACGATCAACAAATTCTCCGAGGCATCTGCAGGTTATATGGACACATGACGAAACAAAGCCTCACGCCAGGCATCTCACTGCGTCAATTGCCTACTCTCCAATCACATAGGTACATCCTTCATCTCCAATCCATACCTCATGCAGGCGGCCAGCGTCAACATCAATGCGGTCGCCGACGCCAAACGTAACCTTCTCGGGCTGTTCATCCTTGGGATAGGTGATTGTCAAGTTCCCTCTCAAGATCAGATGTGTTGTCAGACCGCGATGCGAATGCGGGGGATAATACGCGTTCCTGCAGATTCAGATGTCAGTCTGCCGTTGGTTTTCTGTATCGGGATAACACTTCATGGGCGCTGCAAGCACAGAAAGTCGTCGCCCAGCCACATGTAGGAGACCATTACTACATACGGTCCATCGGTCCAAGTGAAGACGTGAGGAAAACCCCACGATTTGACCTCGGCCTCGCTGCTGCGTTGGGTCGGCATGATCACGACTATGCCTGTCGAATGAACCGGCCTTGTGCGAACGACGATATGCAAGCGCTGCAGATGATCGGGAGACGGAGGCGGTTACGTCACTGGGACGAGATGTCGAGAACTGTGTTTGCGCGGGGTACAGTTCCCCCTCTTCCCTTTTCGATCAGGTCCGAGACTGGCCGGCAGTTCCGACTGTCAACTTGAAGTGGCGTAAGGACTCTGGTTTGGGGTATGTGCGGGAAATCAAGTGCGCAGGCCGTTGGGAGTTTCTTTCGGTCGGATCTCTCGTATGTCGGTGTCAGTGGAAGCTTGGTTGACTTGACTGAGGACTCTTTGGCCATGCAGCAAACAGCAGCCGCACGCCGGCGCTGCACGCACTTTACCCCCACTTACCCCGAGCGCATCTCCCCCCGATCCGGGTTGGTGGCGAGGTGCCCCGTGAGGCGGTGGTTGGTCTCCGTAAAAGTTACGGAGAAGCGCACCACAGCACCGGCCGTCTCGTGCCTCTAGCACCTCCAACTAAAGGTAGCGAGCGGAACGAACGACGTTGACAACTGACAAGCGAGCGAACGCTGATCATGTCGGAATGTCACTGCGGTGGAGATTCCCCAACAACCCGCCCTTGACTCAGCTACCTCTCTCGGTCACTAGCTTTTGGTGGCTTTTTTCCCGTCAGGCACCGCGAGGCTGGGCGGCTGGCTGGCTTCCCGTCACTCGACCCGGTACATACGCTAAAACGTCAGTCTTCAACCTGACATTAGCATGTCATGATATCACTTTTTAATGGGGATCGTCGGCCCATACGAGATGGGGTTTGTGTAAGAGGCGACTGACTTTGACGATGCAAGAAGTCCATCCCAGAGTCCCACTGTCGTTTGTCTCTGCTTAAAATAGCAGGGGCAATGGCCACAGAGTATCGATTACTCCATACTGTTGCTGAAATGGAACGCCAGTAAGGGGAGGCCTGTCGTCAGGGCGTGTTACAGACTGCACATCACTCTCACGGAATCACGATTGGGGGTTCTCTTCCTTCTCCCATTCTCGCTTAAGAAATGACGGGGCTGCCGTGCTTTCTGCGGAGGTGGGAATTGGGGGATCAGATCATGGGAATTCATGACATGACGGATGACGAAGTCCCCTTCTGCTAGGTGGGACAATCGCAATCGAGCGTTCATCTCACTGAGATGAAGATACACCCCCGGCAAACACCTGTGCCGAGCAACGAGCTGACTGATAGTCTGAGGTCGCTGCTTTTAGGGAGGAGGGAGGAGTGCTTGGCTTGGCTTGGCCCTCGCTTGATCGACCCGCATTGATTAAGCATAAAATTTGTGCACCCAAACCAACTGCACATCTTCTTGTGCATGTCTGGGCTTCCAGTGCACAAAAAAGACGAACGATTTACCTTAGAGAGCTGCGGGCAAGTTTCAGCAACATCAACCTCGTCAGGTTGCACTCAGTCGATGCGGCGATACCGTTGATTTATTGCTCGCTGCAACAAGACTCTATCGCAGACTCACCGCTTCGGTCCGGGAGCAGACACTTGAGGGCATCAAACGGGCCGATCGCAATTATACACACGAGAAATTGGAGCATTTGCGCAGGGAGGGACGAGTCAGTGAAAGAGGTGTCTAATAGACTTCACACATACGGGATTCCCAATGAGAGATTTTCGGGCTCCCTTCTCCCTCTCGTGAGGCAATTCGGAGATGCCATCAAAGACACGGCTGCACTGCATTCTTAGCCTCTGGAGATGTGTCGTGTTGAAGAGATCTCTGAGGTCTCAAAAGTTCTGAATCGTCAACGTTGCGGGCAATCACCGACAAGCTCCATTCACTCAACAAGTCTGATACGCGGATTCATTTCATTTTATTGTTCTTGGACTTATTTGTTTTACGGTTTCATCCCTTATGTCAGATCAATGATTTCGGCCTCCGCCTTGCGTTTCGCTCCGGCGACCGACGGAGGCAGGCCCATATTGTTGATGCCGGGGAGGTGTTGTCCCGGCGGTGGGGGCTCGCCCGCATTGCCCGTCATCGGCGCCAGAGGCCCGCTGTGCGGTCTATAGTTTAGTTGCCCCTGCGGCGCGGCACCGGCCGACGACCCGAACGTCGGGGCCTGCCCGCCGGCCGTCTGGTTCTGCATTGTTGGCATCGAAGATAGATATCCCCCGCCAGCAGGTCTTGGCTCCGGAACGCCGTGAGGCATGTGGACCGTCGGTGGCCGGACCCAGTTGTTGGGAGGTTGCACGCCGAACCGGGCGGGAGGCGCGGTAGGGAAGGGTTGGTTGTCGGGTTCGCGGATGTACATGCCCTGTCCCGGGTGCGGTGCCAGACCTCCCGGAGGCCGAGCAGGCATCTGAGACTGAGCGGGCGGGTATGTAGGTGCTTGAACTGGAGGAGCATATGTCGATTGCCTCGGAGCTTGAGCTGGGGCGTATGACGCCTGAACAGGAGCCTGAGGATGAGTCTGAACCGGTGCCGGCATGTAAGAGATACCGCCGGAGCCAGGCGCAAGATTCGTGGGCCGCTCCCACAATGCCTCCGCGATACGCGGGTAGTCCTCGCCCAGCAGAATCCCCAGCTTCGTCTGGTCAAACTGCTGGAACTGCTCTGCCGTGTCCTCCCGTGCCGCCTTCCACTTGGCGCCCGGGGCCGGATCCAGCTTGGTCACCACGAGCGTATCCTGCGGACCGCTCCTGTCGCTGACGTGCGAGCATCTGATGCCGTAGTTCTCGATCTGTTTATGGAGATGGTGGCGCTTTGGCTTGCTCACGGAAAACCGGCACTGCTGCTGGTTGCCGTTGCGCAGAAACTCATTCAGTATGTCGCAGTCTCCGCAATAGCATGGGCAGACCCTGGCGTTGTCATCGCGGGCTTGGGTCGAGGGCTTCTCGCCGAGGTAGGTGTCGCGGTAAGCTTCAAGGATGGCGCCGGCTATCTGGCGGTAGCGGGGAGTCGTCAGGGGAACCTTATGGGACTCGAGCCGCTCAATGAGCTCCTTGAGAAACGGCAGCCAGAGGGGATGGAAGTCGTTCCACTTCATGTGCTTCGCGTGGCCTACAAGCTTGATGGCGAGGGGCACCACGAGGTCCTCCTGCGGTGGGGTGCTCAGCTTGATGAGGTGGGAGAAGAAATCGGCGAGCGTGTCAGGATGGGCGGCGAGGTCGTAATTGTAGTCGGCTCCGGGACCGAGCTGCCCGGAAACGTCTTTGCGTCGTTTGCGCGGCATGTTCTTCTCTTCCGGTCTGTCGCCGTAGACGGTGTTGAAGTTGAGCTGGGAGATGAACTGTTTGGCGAGGCGCTTGTAGAGCTGCACGCCTTCCTGTACCGGGAAGATCTTCTTCTTGGTGATCATGAAGAGGGCTGATAGGAAGTCGAGAGCAAACGCCGGGATGTTGAGGTGGTTCTCGATGATGGGTACGACGCTGGGACATTTGTTAGAGACGGCCTGTTACAAGCACGGCGGCAGAGCTTACGTTGAATTGAGCCAGGCAAAATCGGCATACCGCCTGGCAGCCAGAATCGCAGTCAACCCATCAGAGCCGACAAAACTGCCAGAAGCAGAGGAGATTGCCAATCCCTTGGAAAAGATGTCCAGCGCCCACTCGCGGACTTCATCAGTCAGGACTGGAGAACCGTTCGGCGCAAACGATTCGACCATGTGGACTCGTAAGGAGAACTTTTCGCAGCCGAGAACCATGGAAGACAACCTGCTAGGTCAGCACTCGTTCCACAAACAAGATAACATGAGATGTATGGTTATCAGGACATACCCCTTTTTAATGTCTTGGAATGAGACCTTGCCTTCACCGACCTGCTTGCTCAACCACTCGTAAATGTAAGAATTGATCAGGCCATGAGGATCGGCGGCAATCTTTTCAAGGAAGTTCCATTCCCGCAACTGGACGGCAGCTTCAAGCAGATCGCTGATCTCTGTGTTGGTCAACGCAACTGTTGACCCGGGTTGACGGATTGATGTGTCCCAAATATCTTGCAGAGCTTTGAAAGCTGACGCCTGTCCCTTCCCTGGTTTCGAGGCTGTGTGCGTCAAATACGACACGACTAACCGAGGGTTTCCCACACGGTCCCTTTCAAGGTATGAGGAAGGGTAGGCCGACCTCCTGTCCTCTTTCCCGAGGTTGCGTTTGAGGAATGACGCCACATTTGCACGAGGCACTATCAGCACGGCCTTAATATTCCCATCAGTGTATGTCCCAGTTGAAAGCCAGTGTAAAAAGTTGGCTTACCGTAATGCGGTACCAGTGGGTAGCTGTAGGTCCCTGGAACGCATATTAGCTTCTCCTTCTCAGACTTCACAACGTAACCACGGACCGAGTTTCCCATGAACCCTTGGTAGTCCTCCTCTTGAGGAGCGTCAACCCAGAAATCATTGCTGTCAAGGGTGTGTTCCACTTCGAACTTTATGTCACGCATGACAGGACGCCCGTGAACTCCAACAAGTAGCTTCACACGCTCATGAGACTCGATAACGTCCTCCAGCTCGTGCCACCCTTCATCATCATCGTCCCAGTCGTCATCTTTATACCGATACCCACCGTGATCATATTCCACGGTGCCCTCTTCCTTCAGTTCCAGAGCTGCGAGGAAGACGTCAAACTCGAGCTCTGTGGAAAGATCATCGAGAGTTTGCACCACCGCGTAATCTCGCCCCTTCAAGGCCGCCATGGAGATGTTGGCCTCGGTGTACTCGTGGTCAAGCCGATAATAGAGATGATCCGTATCTGACTTGCCGGGTACGCTACCATTCAACCACTTCCTCAGCGAATGACGCAGCCTTTGGGTGTCGGCACGCCGGAGACCAGCGGAAGGAAGTGGCCTCGACGGGTCGAGAGCGAGGTTATACGTGAGAACGACGCGATGGCCCCAGGTGACGGGGAGAACCTCGTGAGAGACATCAGAGTACCATACGGCGACAGAACCTTCCCTGTACTTGGACGTCTTCAACGTCTTAGTCTCCCCACAGTGCTTAGCCACGACCTCGCCTCCCTC